TCCTTTCAGTGCATAACCTTTGATAATTATTGCCTTTAGGTATGATAACTCTCATTTCTAGTGGAATGTAGTAATGCTAAAATTATATAACATGTATATGTATTTAATGCAAAATTAAAATGCACCATATCTATAGAACAAAGTAATTTTCATGTAGTTTTAGAATTTTCCGTGAAAAAAATGTGTTGGCTTATATTTTAGTGACTTTTTTCCCTACGTGAAGCATCTTCCTATAAACATCAGTAATTAAAAGAAAAATTAATTGAGAAGCTTTTCAGTTTACTTCCAAAATATTTTCTGTCTTATGGTTGAGATCACTTCTTTGTTCATCTGTAGAAGACAAACAGTGGGCAGGGTGAGAGGTGATGGGAAAATGACAGTTTTTTCATAAACTTCTAATTCTTGTTTTTATTTGTAAACTTAAAATATTGGTCTAATGGGTAAGTGCTGAGTGTGATTTCTGATTAAGGGAACACAACTTTCTAAATGATTCTATATTCATCTTCATGTGTCTTTAAAAAACAACAATTAAAAAAAAAATCCCAACAAACAATAAAACAGATATTGAAGGGGAGCAGTATATCAATCACAGTCAGTTTGTTGTCCACTGGGACCTCTAGCAGATCTGCTCGTTTTCTGTATAAATGAAGTGTTTAGTGCTTCACTGTTTTGCATAATGTTTTCTTGAATGATGTGAAAGAGGAAGTAGAAAGCACATTAATTACATCTGCAGATGATATGAAGTTAGAGAGCTACAAGCAGCTGGAAGAATGGCAAGAAATATAAATTGATCTAGAGAACAGCAATGTGCAGGAATTTACAAAATGAGTCTCGCCTTGTAAATGTGATCCAAATCATAGACATGCTATATGTAAAATTAGCTTAATGAAGTGTTAATGTTGAGCTTTCACTCACGCAGTAAGCAAGATCTACTTATCTTGATATCCCACCCAGTTAACTGTTTCTTATGGTATCCTCATCTTTAACCACTTCTACTGAATCTTCCTAGAATGGTTTCCAATTTCACTGCTGTGGTTTTGGCGATGAAGGACAACTAACTGGACTATTTCTTAGTTTAGTTGCAAGAAAGAATAAGCAATTTGTGGAAAAACTAATGCTTCCTTTTTTATGACACTCCCTCCCCTCCCCACCCCCCGCCCCAGTATTCAATTTTAAGAGAATTCTGTCTTAATCAGTGCTGCAAATTACACGTTTGTCCGGAATTCAGAACCCTTGGATCTAAAATTGTGCTATTTTGTGCATCTGCTCCTTTACCAGTTTGGGATACCAGTAGGACTCCAGAGCAAAACTGTCCTGAGACTTCAGTTTCTTTACGTTGTGTAACGAATGGCTCGTGCTTTGCCTTGGTGCTTTGGAAATGAAATGGATCTGGCTGCCTTTATGGCTTATCAGGCTCTCAGCACTGGGCTCTTTACAGGGGCAAATGCCAATCAGTTGTAATTTGCTCAGATAACAATGTTACTATTGTTAGTGCTAACATTTCTGTTTGTTAAATAGGCAGTATAATAGCTCATTGTGACAAATAATTTCATGTTGAAGAAACAGCTTAAGAAGTCTTTTTTGGTACACTTTGTATAGCATTCTGTATGAAGGAGGCACAGCAAAACTGCATGCCCAATATCACGTTACTTTTGGCTTAATTAGGGCTGTATCTAAATGTCCCGTGTTTGTCTGCACTGAGGTGCTAGAGGTAGCTGCAATGTAACCCGGACAATTTGCTCCTACAACTATATTAAGTTAAGATTAGACAACTTGAGGGCAGGGGGGGGGGCGAAAAATATACAGAAGAATACTTCTTTGTAGAAGCCTTATGATTTTTTTTTTTTGGTCGGTTTGTGAGCACCTGCCTAATGGATTTAAGCCTCCTGGTAATGGAGGTTTAATGGTCCGCAGATCACAGTGTGTAAGACATAGAAAGCAGTACAGTGAAGTTTCATGTCAGAAAGTATGTAACAGTCAATTGCTTTGTATAAAGACTGAATGAAAGACTAAATTAAAGACTGTTACTGTGTTAACTTTGAAATGAACACCTGAAAAGATGGCCAACCAAATTCATTGCTGTAACAGTGTGGGAAATCTGTCCATCACCTCCTCTCTGTTGGTGCACACATTAGCAGTGGCTCGTCAGGCTGGCATGCATTTCTTGCTCCACTCTTTGCAGCGTGACCTCTACCCCTCTCCGTTTTGAGAATTCATCAAAAAAGGTAGCATGTCCAAAAGCCTGGTTTGATTTCTTTCGGTGTATCAGCTTTTACAAAAATCTTTTCTAAAAGATTTTCAGGAATCCTTTCATGGCAGAAGTCCATGAAGCTGAGGATGTATTTTGCAGTTTCAAAACTCCAAATTGCACTAAGCAGTATCGGTTTATGTAAAATGTTTAAGTCAGAGGCTGAACTGGTGTTAGTTTATAATTACAATTGCTTTTGAAATGTCTGCTGTGTGTTTGGCATGATTTTGATTGTGAGTGGAATCAGGCTTTCAGATGAAATCTATTGTTGTTCACTTTCATCTGGTTTAGCTTTATTCGTGTTTGATTCTTTTGTGCTAAGTAAACTGTAATTTGGACAATGCTTATTTGTCCTGATTAAACATATTTGCCTATACCTTATCTCAGTTGATTATAGTAAAAGCATAAGACAAAAAGAGGCACTCTTCTTGCTATTTCCTCCACAGTATAAGATTGTGTTGCTATTTATCTGTGCTACTGTGCTGCTCTATCTCTGCGGCTAGTATTCAAGTGTGGCATGAATTCTTTATCCGTATAGTATGGTGGTGGCTTGCAAGTGATGAAAAACAGTTTCCTTTATGCAAATGTCCATCTTTGTTAATGCTGTCAAACAGCAAGTGTGATATCCAGGGAATACGTGTCACTCTGTGGGTTACTGATAATGTAATCTAATTTCCAAAAATAAATTAAATGCATCTTTTAATCTATAGCCATCAGATATATGTAAGCTAAAGGAAAACAACATGTTAGAGACAGTACATGTGAATTTGGAAGAAGAATAAGTGGTTAATTTGAAATTAAGCCGTCAGGTTTGCCGTATTTTCTAATAAATTAACCTTGTTGAAGAAGCTCATGATGGTACCATGTGTTGTTGCAGAGGCTTCCACAGATAAAATACCTTATCTAAGTTGAAGGACTGTTATTTGTTTCAAACAATGCCTTTAAAATCTTTATAAGCAATTTTTACAAGGCCTTTTTCAGCAAAACCTTATGTATAGTAGTAGTAAACTTCACTTTTTAAAAAGTGTTAACAAACGCTACATGTTTTTTTCACGGATGTCTTTTATTTAGTTATTTGCCATGCCCTCCGAAGTAAAATAAGCTAAAGTGAAGAGAAAAATGAATGAAACGGCATTACTGATTTTAGTAGGTGAGGTGCCATGACACAGACTGAACTCGTCCCTAGCATGTACCGCTTACATTTGGGGGTTTTTTATTGTATTTATTTTATTGTATTTTTTAAATGTACATTTTTTAATTTAATACAACATGCCGTGTATTCAAGTTGAAAAGATGAGTAACGGTTCTATTCATAGGGAAATGCCACAACAGTTATGACAATCCTTTTAATAATTACAAGATGTGAGAGAGGACCCTTTCTCCTTCCACGTACCCCTCACCAACTCGACATTTCTGCAGGCATTTCCAATCAAAGCCAAGTCATTTTGATGCCTCTTTCCTGAAAGATTTGCGTCTGCTATAGTTTAAGCTGGCCAAAGTCTGGATTGTGTCATCCAACCCACTCTGCTTTTCTCTGGATCTGCTCCCTCAGTTTTTTCTCAAGCTGGGCAAATGATGTTGCTGCTAAATGAGGAGAGGCATCAGAAAAGCCCCCTATGGCTTCTATAGGCTCTATCAGCTATGGAAGTGTACCTTAAGGTAGTTCAGATTCCCCACCATCTACCGACTCCAGAGCACCAAAGTCAGCTTCTTCACTTCTGGTTTGTTTCTCTTAAGATAATCTGTGCGACCTTGTTCAAGCACCCTTAAAATCTTTCTTCTTCAATTGCCTCAAACTGTCACATTGAACATTTTTTATATCTTTATATCTTCATCTAGCTTTGCGTGTTTGTAGTTTAGCTGATACTGTTTTGTGCATATGGCTGAACTATTCCTTCTTTAACATAATAGAAACAACAGTTTTCTGTGGTTTCTGCCAGACCAGGCAGAACAAATCTGTTCAGACCTCTTGTGTACCCTGTATAACATGCCCACTGCCGAAGAAATACAACTATTCATTATAAATCCTATCCTTTAATCTCATTGAATTATTGAGGCTACCTATTTAATTGAAGGACTCCTTTTATTATTAAGGACTTGCTGTCTGAGCCCTGAAGGGGAAAACTTGTGGGCTAGTTTTCATCCATCAGGTGCATGCAAGGATCATAGACAGGCATTTGTAGTGTTACTTTAAATCAAAAGTAATTAATCTTCATTTGTTTTACCAGTAATATTTATGTGGTTGTATTGCTGCTGTGGGTACCAGAATAGGCAGCAAATTACTTCAGCTAGTTCATTGGGCAGGTGGCAAGAACATGTTAGCAATACTGTTAGGTTTTCAGATCCTGTGGTTCTGCATTACGTCAAAAACGCCTTTTATATAAAACCTGTGGTTGCACCTTTATACTACTGACCTCCTCTGATCTGTACAGAGCAGGTTGTTGCTATATCATGTTACATTTCCTGCGCGGCATCTCTTTTCCTGCCCATTAGAAAGTATGTCAGTGCTTATGTCTTGTGCCTATTGAATGACAGGTGACCATTAAGTTGTATTAGCTGCATAAATAATTGGCGTGTAGATTATTCCACATATTCCACAATTCTTCTTGTGACAAATTTATTATATGACTTTGAACTGGAGGACTGTAAGGTATTTCTTATGCTTATTAAGTATGTATTCAAGTTTGTTGGAGCGAGGTTTTGTGCTCTTTCCAGTACAGATGAAGTAACTCATTCTTTCCTTGTGTCCTAGTTTAGACTTGGATCTCTGAAGCTAGAGAAAGTTTCGAGTCCGGCGGAGGTGGTTAAGGAGCTGATTGGTTACTGCCTAGACTGCCTGGGAAGACTGCAGGCGAAAAACGAGCACCTGCAAAAAGAAAATGAAAGGCTTTTCAGCGACTGGAGCGATGTGGAGAAGCGGTAAGTTTAAAAGTGCATTCATAGGTGATACCTGAGAAACTCACAAATATTTATTTTGTCAGTGCAGGCTTTACTGAGAAGCACTTTTCGGAGTCCTGTACAGAAAGGAGCACACAAATTTTTCTTCTCTTGACAAGTGTTTTGAGCCCAGTTACTTACAGCCCATGTAGTTGTGTGTAGTTGTGGATCTTCTTCCTATGTCGAAAATGCAATTGGTATTACAAACTTTGTAATTAAAGCTGGTTTTATGAAGTGAAGTGAAAACCTTCACTTTATGAAGTGAAAAAAAAAGACCTCTTTTCTGTAGAATCCTCTCCACTTTCTTCAGGAAGCCACCTTTCCACTATTTTCTATAATTCTTATGACTAGCAGTTCAAATGATTTACATTTTTGAGTGGGAAATAAGTTGCCGTTGCTTTAATCTGTTTGCCTTGTCAAAGCAGACAGAATTGGAAAATAAGTGTATTGTTATAAGAAAAAGCACCATTATTTTGTGTGAGGTTCTTTTTTTAATTGCCGTTGCATTTATGATCTGAATTGTCTGCTGCTGCACTTTGGAGTGAAATAATCTTTGCTTTTTTCAGTTAGCATAAAACGCTTAGCACATACAAGTCAGAGATTTATCTTGTTTTTCTATAGCTTTATCTGAAAAACCACATTTAGGAAGAATGTAGCTAATTGGCGTTAATTTACCTTGAAAAAGAGAACTAACTTTTGGGAGGAGTTAGTTTTGTTTCCCTCTCATTAAAATGACTAACAGTTTCGCCTGACAATCTCCCTGACAAGCATATGGCCTTCTTAAGTAGTGTTTTACTGCTTAACAGTTTATTGAACAATAGCGTATTGTATAACCAGTATGCTGTACTGCATTACACGCTAATGTGTAATAGGCATTAGTGCTTGTATCAATTTCCATGGTGGTGTGGCACTTTTAAAGAGTAACCCCAAAGAGAAGAAAATCACGGTTGCCTGACAGCCTTTGCTCTCAGCAGCAGTGTATTCAAGCTTCGAAAGCTGGTGGTTTTCTTTGGTATGTTTATATTTTGAATAGCTGAAACATGATTTTTCAAAATAAATACTGAAAATTGTATGGTCACCAAACTTTGGCCATGGCCGCTAAATAGAGAATGAAAATAGTTTTCATCCAAACAGCATTGTTTTTTGGGTTTTTTTGTTGGTTTTTTTTTTTTTGGTTTGTTGTTTGTTTTGTTTTTTTTTTTTAAATTCTTTTTGCCACAGCCTAGTCTACCCTGCTGTCTCTCTTTGCTTTTTTGGCTCCAAATGCTGGACCTAGTGTTGTGAGTTTCTTGGAGCTGAACAAAAGCTTTGCCTGTCTTTGTTCAGTAGACAGGATTTCAAGCTTCACACTCTGTATCACTCATGGCACTGAGTGGTAAAACATCAAATATAAAGCACGTGGTGTGGAGAATTATGCTCCCTCTTTGCCTGGAGCTAAGGCACATCAGCTCCAGAGTGTCAGCCCCTGCAGTTCCCCTTGCTTAAAATCTCTCTCTTCAGGACCTCGTTAGAATTAAAACATAGCATGCAGACTTCCAAGAGCTGTCTTTGTTCAGGTTAAGCATGGGGCACTGGATGGAATAATTCAATCATCCCTTTTCCATTTCCCTACTCTAATTTTCTTGACCATCATGATGGTTTTGTGAGCTCAGCTAGCAGCTTTGCCCCGTAGCTCTCCGGGGTCTCTTGAGGTATAAACTTGTTCTGTTTTCCATTTGGTCTGTAAAACAGCAAGCAAGTTTCCTTCAGGAGGCTAAACCTGCCTAGTGAGCAATCTGTAAGCTGAATAGCATCCCCGATCCGTTGCTGCAATTGCCTCAATGTACATGAGCTAGTCTGCTTGGCTGTAAATGGCTCGCATGGCAGCCCCCTGCTTGCCCCTGCCACTTCCCTCTGCAACTCAGGTTCAAGTAAAGGTGACAGGCAGGAGAAGGCCAAAAATCCCTCTGAAGAGAAATCCCCTGCATCATCAAATTGTTAAATTACTTACGTATTCTAGTCTAAGCTGTGCGGCATCTGAGGTGTTGAGAGTGTTTCTGGTTGAAGCTGCAACTCCCTTAATTTTCATCGTCTCGCTTCTTGTGATGACCTAAGTGTAGGATTTTACCTGGCTGAACATTTCCCTGCTTTTAGGAAATGACCCACGTGTAGGTGACATCAGTATGAGAGTTATTGACTAGCTAGACTGTTCAGCACTTGAGCTAAAAACATAAAATAAAATTACTAAGACACTATCTGGCAAGATCCAAATAGAGAGGCTACGGAAATTTTCAAAAGGTTTATTCTCAAAATGCTGCAAGTGGGTGCCTGGTGAGCAGCGTGTGTGTGTGTGTGTGTGCGCGCGCACCTCAGGGATGGATGAGTTAAAATATCAGAGCAGAATAGCTGTTGTTTTTATTTCATATAGATAATTAATATAGTAAATGTAAAGTAATAATAATCTATAGCAACATAATTCCTTGGCCAATAAAACACAAGTTAATTTCTGTTTTGGGTGTGGTATGTATTTTGTATCAAACATCTAAAATCAGTGTAGACAAGCCAAAATCAAAATAGCTGCTAATTTATGTTGTGGTCAACTATAGTGACAGTCTATTTAAACCAGAAACAGCTTATAAAAATGCAGGCTAGGTAGTTTGGTGCTTGAAACTGACTTTTCAGCATTAGCTCATCAAGATTCAATACCATTGCCAAGTTGGGGGAAGGGTGAATCTGAAATGTAATGGAGCGGTGCCGTAAGACCAGTAATTATTTTAGAGCACTGAGGACAGGGATAAATAGCAGAGATGTTGAATTTGTTCTTTCTAGTATTGGAGTGTGGAAAATGTATAAATGCCATTAAGTGTCATAGTTCACGTTAACCTCTGTGAAGCACGTGTGATTGCTCTACGTCTAGGCAGCACTTAAGAACTGGACAGTTACCTTATTTTCTCAATTACTAATCATAACCATTCCTGATACTAGCTACTTTCAGTAGGCTGTGCAAGCTTTTTGATAGCTATCAATTTGGGTGTGTCTGGCACATTAAAAGCATTGCACGTATGTAACAAAGAGATCTAAGAATATAGAAATTGGAAAGCATGTGCAAATAAGACTTGCACTACTCTAGCCATTAATGTCCGTTTATTTTCATTGTACTTGAAAGTTGTCTTTGAGATGAGTAGCTTCTTTATTTGGCCTGGGGAGATGGTATTTTCGTGAGACAAATCACATACAGGCACAAGCAGGTGACGAATTGCAATTAAAGTTTGTATTTGTAACTGATGAGGTATTGGAATGAAACACAGCCAGCTTTGCTTAGTGGTCACGTAATTCAGGTAATACATGCCTGAGTGAATCCTAAAGGCTATGCAGGGTTACAGCCAGAGCCACCACACACACACATACGTTCTGCATTATTAATGCATCCCTGTTCCCAAGCAGCAGAGGACTGTTGCTTTTTACTATTCCGTTTTGAAGGATCATCATATGCCATATAATAGAATATTTTTAAAGGCTCATAACTTGCAAATATAGCATTAATGTAATACTATTTTACACTGATTGAATGTTATGCCAAATTAATATTATATCTATGTCTGGAGAATGTATTTATGTATGGATTACTTTAAACAACAGACAAAAATCGAAAAAGGTGTTCATGTAAATGAAAACAATCATGTAAGATTAATTGGTGGCATACTACTAATTGATTTTGCCTACAGGGAACTGTTAATATTCTAATCTATGCATATGGTCAGTATGTATATTTCGAGATGCTAATGTTTTGCTCCAGAGGCTGAAGAAGTTGGCTAGTCTTGCAACAGGTTCCTATATTGTGCTTCTTAACGTCCGGGCAGCATCAGCTTTACTTCATTGAGAGTTTACAGTTATGTGGATTTTTGTCACTGGATGTCTTATATGACACTTTTTTGGCCAAGTCAGCAAAATGTCTCAATGTAACTAAACCAATCTTAGCTGCTCTGACACTAACCAGCCCATTGGCAAAATAAAGGCACAGTAGTAAGCACTTTCTTTAGTTAGTATTGTTTTGTGTGTGGGAGAGGGGCCTTTTCTGTAGGATTTGATACGGACAGGATTACTGTATTTTACACAAAATCCTTGTTTTCCATTTTTATGTATACAGACATAATTCGTTTCAAGCATGTAAATGGCAGTTTACCCAACAACTGTGGGGTTTTTTTTTATATCTATTTTTTAATGGCTGAATTCTACTTGATAAGTGGGAGGCAATTCCTGTCCTTATCTTTTTCCTTCCGTGAGCTGGTCAAGGCACTTCCGGACCCTGTATTAGGGTTTATGATTCTTTGTGAATTGTCTATTTGTTCCCCACTAAACAGTTAACTTTCCTTTTGTAGGTGGAAAGTCTCCTGGTAGTTGATTAGTACGTATGATCTTTCATTTAGGAATTACTGAACCGATCTATATGGTAATGATGTTCTGCTATTTGCATTTAAATTAGATGAATTATTTATCAACTATCAAGCATATCCCCAAAGGATTGCACAGTAGACTTAACGCTTCATGAGATTATTTTTTATTGTCTTTCTTCTTACATCATATATGGTTTTGATCTATGAACAAAATAATCAGTATTTGTATAGGAAGTCTATTGAAATTTCCTACCTTATAAATTACTGTTCTTAAAATCTGTTATGTGTTTGGGTTTAATAACAAAGGAAGCCTTCTAAACTTTTTTACCAACCTTGCATAGGTTGGTGAAAAGAATGTTATAGGTTGTGACTACTTGCTATAATACTGTAGTTACCATGATCAATAAGATTATCAAGATATTTACTTGCTTATTATGAACACAGCTATTGAAATGTTTGTGGTTCAACCCATGGACTAAAAAGTTAAGAAATTCAAGAAGTAAATATAGGATCGCATTTGCTATAAGTCACTTAATTTATTGTGCTCATGTTTGCTTATATTCAATTTTGCTTTGCTTATGAGACAGTATACATCCACATTCTTAACGGTATATTTCCATTGTGCTTTGTTTTATTGACACTGACCTAGCTACAGGTGCACATTAAACCTTTAAAACCCAGAAGAATATTTTGCTCTGAAGATATTAATTAAGAGCTTTTAAAACGTTTTTATATGTATTGTGTTTACTACCAAGTAATTGTGATTGGTTCAGGGGAAAAAAAAGTAAAAATCTGCCTAGCGGTGACTGCAAGTGTACGAAGATCTCAGCTCTGTGTAATTCGAAATGGAGTCCGCAGCACTGGAGTTACTAGCATTGTATTTGTCTGAATGCCTGTAAGGGATTACAGCTGCCATCAGGTGTTGCTGCAGCGTGCTGTTGAGCATTGCCAGGTTTCTGTACCTTGCCGGCTCACCAGAACAACACATCAAGGCTGTTGATGGAAAACGGTCAGGCAAAGGTCTGTATCACCCACATCTGCCCCGGCAGTCCTGGCAAGGAAAGAGTTCTGGAGCTGTCCCGATTGCCCCAAAGTATTTGCTGGTCATCTCAGCCCATGTTGGAGTGGAGTTGCCTATTTCTTTTTTTTTTTTTTCCTGTTCAAATATATTTCAAGTCAGAGTGTGTGGTCCAGATTTGGGACCTGTCAAGCTTAATCATATCTGTTTGTAATATCATTATGTGTATCCTGCTAAGCTATGCCTACTATGGTGAATTCAGCATTAAAACTAAAGAACACTTGCCTATCTAAATTTTAGTTGTCTCAGATGCATGTGTGCAAGAACCAATCAAAAAAAGCATGAAGAGAAAATTTTCCCCTTGGAAAATTTCCACTTTTGGTAGCAAAGTTCATTACAATTTTCTATGGGAAAAAAAGTTTCTTCTGCCCTGTTTCAGGCACAAGATGCTGAACTAGTTGTGCATAGTTTGGCATGGGGATTTCTATAATAGGAAGGCTGGCCTCGCTGTAGAACTTTCTTCCAGGAAACACAGAGTTTTAAAAAGAAATGGTGTAACAGTTAATTTTACATTGTAGGCTGGAAAAATGTGTGGAAGCTAAAGAAGAGCTAGAGGCAGATCTTTATAACCGGTTTATTTTGGTGCTGAATGAAAAGAAGGCAAAGATAAGAAACTTACAGAAGTTGTTGAACGAAGCTAAAGAATCTGCAGCAGATACTGAATGTACAAGGTATTTCTTAATGTTCCTGAGTTACTTGGTAACATATCTGATGCATATTTTAGTTTAGTTTAGTTTCCATTTCTTTCGCTCCAACAGTGAGAGACAGTTCTTCCTGGCTAAGCGCTTGGTTATCCAAAACAATACTGGTACTCATGAAAGCAGACGATTCTTTGTGGCGTCACTGCAAATAGCAGCATATTGTCTTAGATGCTGTAGCCAAGAACTAAATATTCAATGAATCTGTCCTCTTCTTTATTCTGTTAGGTTGCAGTTGATTTTCCAATCGGAGTACGTCTCTGCCATTTCCATAGGTGGAACTTTCATATGCATTCTCCCTGAATTATTTGATTCCTTTTGTCCTTTGGGAAACAAAAATATCAAAATCTAAATGTTTTTATGTACTTTTTATTTCAAAAATGTCTAGCAAAGACGAATCATTCTAATGCTACAACACACCTTAATTTGTTTGCTATTTTTGTCCTGCTTTTTTATATCTTACCTTTGATTGTCTGTCCTTGCATATGAATATGCTAAGCTGTTCAGCATGGGGACTTTATGTTGACTTGTATCAGCTTGCATTGCCTCTAAGACAGTGCAGACAGTGCAGAAATGATTATAAATTCTTTGGAGTAATAATAGATGGCAAAGATATGCTTGCTTTTTTTCCTTTTTTTTTTCTTTCTTCCCCCTAGGAATAGTATAGCTACTACTCAGATGGCTACAGAGAGAGAAGACGACTATGATGGCAGCACTGATGACGAAAGTGAAAATTTAACGTGGGCCTCATTACCATCAGGTGAGACAGAATGTATTGTCTTTGGGGAGTATCACGGACAGGCCAATCCCTTTATGTAAATAAACCTTAATGAAGACAAAATACTACCTGACAAATTGCTCTGTGACAAGCCAACCTGCAAGCCGTAAAAATATCTCTCTTGAAGCAGAGTATAATACTGGCATTTTCAAATTAGAGAGAGGAAGTTTAAGAGCATGTTGCACAAGTGAAGGTACTGTCATTTCTTCCAAAATGACAAATTACATACTTTGCAGAACTAGTGACAGTCTAACAGTACCTGAACTATCAACAATTCTATTTTAAATTCTAGGAATCGTGATTAGTATGCAATGATTGCTAAAAAGTAAAATGTAGTTCCTGACAGTTTCAGTAGTGCTTAAAAAGGGGAAGAAGAGGAGGTTTAACGGCTATAAAAAGACCTATGTGCATAAATGGAATAAAAATGTATTTATAGCAGAATTAATTTTAATTTGTCAGTGAATTTTTGGTCTCATGAAGGTGCTCATGAAACAAATTTAATTTGACTAATTTTTCCAGGCCTAGAGACTTGTAAAGTGTATGAGATACAGCAATTGCCCATGCTACAATACAAGATATTTAACTGAGAATCATAGAAATTTTGGCATATTTTGGCAAGCTAGTAGGAATATGCAGGACAAATACTATCAAAGTTTTTAAACGGCATTGACACTTGCCGTATAGCTATTATAAACTTCCCTTTGGGTCTGCAAAGTTTGCTGTGGGTTCTCTCACTGGAGCTTTCTATTTCCACCATAGGTAAAGGTAATCAAGACAACAACTTATTACAACTGTTTACTATGCATACTGGAAACCAGAAGTGTTCAAGACCCTGATATCAGTGGTATTCAGCTTTGTAATTCATATGAGCCTGTTTGTTGAGGACTTTCTAATATAATATAAAGTAGGCAGAGCTTCAAACAAATTTAGAAAGTTGCAATTATGGAAAGAAATTACTTTGTATTGTACTATGCTCTTCAGCTTAGAAATCTTGGCTTTCCTGTGGTATTTGGTCAGTTCAGATTATGTGGGGACAAATAATTTACGTTTAGCAAAAAGGCAAGGGAAGTGGAAGGTGTTGATTCTTTTGCTAGATTCAGTAGGACTTAGTTAGCTCAGTGAGAGTTTTGAGACAGACATATGTATTTAAAAATGAAAACAAACCCCCACTGCCCCACTCAGGCAATCATGAAGGACTGGACTGGTCAATGTTATAGGAAAAAAATAGCAACTGTATTTTTATTTGAGTTGTAAACAAAAATGTGCTTTCTGTTGCCTTTGAGGGATACGATACTCAGGATTTTGATCATGATTACAGAGTTCTTTCAACTGCAAAATTTGCAAATAATATGGAGAGTATAAACTTAATCCTCTGGGTAACACACTCAAGTTTTTCAAGGTAATGGCATTCTTGAACCTGCACAATGAGTATCGCTTAGGTCAGTTGATACTCTTCCTGTGTACATAGCTTTCTTTTTCCACGAACAATAGAAAAGCACAGATAGGAGCTGAATATCTTAGTGTGGTTTAGGATTTTCACATGAAAAAAGAGGTCCGAGGCAGGCTGTGTCTCTATGAGGAAGACAGTGATTCAGGGGTGAGTGGCATGGGAGGATAATGAAGCTCATAGCTACATCAAGCATCAAGGACTGTAAGGCATAAGAGATAATACAGATAATGTTTGGTTTTTTCTGTTTATCTGTAGTTTTCCTATCTGTTAGTCCAACATTACATTTCTTTTCCTTTTGGATTTGGAGTGTCATTGTGTGGGTTGCAAGAAACAATGAGAATTAAAGGATTTTTGAGAATGTTTTAGTAGATATTGGTGAAAGCCACAATCAAGAGATAAGATCATAATTTAAAAAATGCTTTGAAGGAAAGTGAAGACAGATGTGTATACTGACTCATATATACATATTAAGTGTACATTTGTATGTGTGCATGTCCAAAATTTAAAAAGCGAGAAGCTGATGCTGATTGTCATAAATTAAAAGTAGGAACTGCAGGAGATGGCTGAAGAAAGCCACATGATAGAAAGGCAGAGAATCTCAGGCCAGGAGGTAGAAGGCCAACAACCAATCTTCAAGTCAGTTGAGAACATATATGCAGCTGTTACTGTGCAATGATAAAAAAATCAGTACTAATAGAAAAAGGAGCCGTGTTCAGTAAGTGCTTTTGGTTTGTGTTTAGGGGGCAAAACTACATGTAGTCGCATCAGAATGTATTTGCGTTCTAGCAAGGGGGGACATGAAGCAGCAGCTGTGAAATCTAGATATTTTAAAATTAGACAGTCAGGATATGTTGAACTGCAGAGTTTAGAAAGCTGCCTGCAAATTTTTCTTAGCTACCAATAATTGGGGGGGGGGGGTTTCTAGAATTTTTGAGGCACTGAAGGGATTTGGAAAAAAGCTGCTAATATTTACCAAAAGAAAAAGTAAATGAAATGGCACATTCACTTATGGGTATATCAGTCTGGTGTTGATCTGATGCAAATATAGGAACAGGACTCAATGAAGAAACGTATTAAGAAAAGGAATAAGAATGGTTAATTCCAGTCTTTGTAAAAGTGCAGAAACCGGAGGTTGAAAACCAGGTACTCATGTCTTCCGTGATAAGATTACCAGCTGGCTGATGAAGGTAAAATTAGTAAAGTAATAGACTGACTTTCATAAGATACCATGCTGCACCACATTTTAATCAAGAAAGTGGAACATGGAAATTAACATAAAACATGATAAATAAATTCTCAAATGAGGTAATATGTCTATCTCAAAATATAAATGGAAAGTTATCAGTCCTTGTATCTGAGGAGTGTGACATTGAAGATAATACGTATAAACCAATTTGTGTTTTGTGATACACCAACTATAAACAAAATGTATGCATTCTAACACAGTGTAATGCGATGATTTCCAGTCCTTTGACAGCTGTGCTTCACTTGAGAATACCAACAGTGTCTTAAGCTTTGCTTTGCCTAGCTCCTTCTGCCACATAAAGCTGGGTACCTCCCGGGGTTGCCATCATCTTCCTCACGTGCACCCACCTAGCAAAGCCAAGAGCTACTTGGACAACTTTCGCACCCTGCTCCGTCTTGCACCGGTGCTGGCACGCTGGCACTGTCCTGCCTGGCCTTGCAGGAAACAGCTTTGGTCTTAGCCCAAGTTAGTTCAGTTGGTCTCTGCCTGACCTCTTATCAGTTTATAACTTCCGAGTGCTACCTGCCTTACCTGGTAGGGAACCATTGGCCTAGTGTAAGGATACTTTGGAAAATAAAGAACATAGAGAAAATTCTCTGAAGCAGCAATGACTTTATTTACGAAAAAAAAAAAAAAAAAAGACATGGAGTGTGAAAATAAATAAGCAGATTTGCAATGTTAAGGCAAAAGGGACTTTTGAATCACTATATGATTTGGCCCCTTGATGCAGTGCTGTGTCAAGTTTGGACATCAAGATTTGAAGAAAAATGTTAGCAAGTTGGGGACCATAAAATTGTGATAACAGTGGAGGGATTAGCAAATGATTTAAATGAAATGCGGGGAAGAATCTTAAATGATCATTGTTTTCATGGTCTAAAAGAAACTACACTGCAAAACAATGTGATGGTGGATGGTCTTTCCGTCCAGGAGGTACATGTGTTTAATGAACCGGAATAACTGGAACTTAACATTAGACAAAGACAAAAATGGGACATTATTCCTGCCAGAATAATTAACTGCTGGAACAGTTTGGAGCGGGTTATGATGGGTTCTGTCCATCACTGCCAGCGCTGAAATCACGATGGCATGCTTTTAATAAAAAGACACTATCTTGTTCATGTAAGCATGAACTTAAAAGAAGTACACAACCTATGTTATGTTGGGCATTGCAAATGACTGTTACTATGACAGCTTTTAGCCTGTAACAGCAGATGAATCGCAGAATTGTCTTCTGCAAAAATGAGCTTACTCATGCGTGAATTCTCAGTAATGCTGTCAGGTAGGTTTTCAAACTCTGCACAGCAGGCCGTCACATTTATTTGTTCAGCTTCAGATAAATTTTGTGTAGAGGTCTTTTCCCTAGCAGTTAACCTGCAACCTAAAAGTTTACCTAAAAATTTAGGTTTTGGCACTTACAGTACCATTTGTAGATATGATTTATGGTTTGGGTTTTGACAGCAGTTTCTACTTCATAGCTTAAAGCCAAAATCAAGTGAAACATGGTAGGTTTTGTCTCTAATCTACACGCTGATGCAGTTAATGCTTTGCATTGTAAAAGAACAAATTAAAATTGAATGAGTAGGTGTTTTAGTGTAAAGCACTCAGGAAAACAACTGATGTGTATCAGGAGCACGGCTTTTAGAAATAGTACAACTTTTGTAAATAACGCTGTATGTCTTTTTATACAACAGCTTTGCCCATCATGCCGTGAGCATGGGGGAAGTTTACTTGACATATTGGTTAGGATTGTTAATGTGAGATTGAAAAAGGCACACAACTCCTGCTTTCACTGCAGTTTAATAAATTCTTAAGCAGCAGCTATACATGTTGTACCAGGTCCTTGTAAATGCCTATGAGCTCTTATTTGAGAGAGTTTCTACTCTGGAAGGAGGACAGGAAGGAAATCCTCCTACTGTTAAGCAGGACTTCATGAATGGGGAGGTATGAATGTTTCTTGAGAGTAGGGGGAGGTTGCTTTTCCTTTGTTTTGTTATTTGGTTTACTCCAGGGTTGATAAGATTCTAGCTGAGCCACCAAAGCCAGATATAGTTGTTACTTTCACTACTGGTACTTCAACAAAGTTCCAGCAACTTTGCAGGCGCCTCACGCTTGAGATTGCTGATGTGCTGTCTTGTTGTTTCACTCCTCCCTCACACATTGCATGTAGTCTTGCACTTCAACTCTTTAATCAAATATCTGATACTTTGTTTAGCTTGACTGCTGTCTAGCATTTTTAGGGTCGTCATTTTTGGTTGGGACCGCTATGTCCTGTGACAGTAGGAAGAA